GTCCTCCATGTTCCCACAACAAATCAATACCTCTGGGGGTACTGATCCAGGAGTTTCCTTGTCTTCTGGATTGGTTCAAAATTACAAGGCTACGGAGTTGAACGTAAGTAGTCGTAAACCCATGAAATTGGGTCGGCTGTTCAACGACGGTTATAAAATAAAAAATAAATAGAAGCCGGTTGAGCCGTGAGGGATTAGGCTATAAAGCGTTCACCTTCCAATTAGGTGAACCGGGTTCGAATCCCAGTCGATACGACTTCCGCATCCGGCTTGCAACGACCACAGTGCTGACGTGAAATATCCTCAGTGATAGACGGATCATGGGTTAGAGTCCCCTTGCCGTCAAGCTAACGGTGGAAGGTGTTCGTAGTCTTCCTCTTTATGTAACGCAAATGCGGGTTAGCTCCATCAAGATGTCTTCCACGATGGCAAATTTCTCCCTGTACTCGATCCAAGAGTTACCTTGTCTTCTGGATTGGGTTCAAAATGACAAGGATACGGAGTTGAACATTAGTAGTCGTAAACCCATAAAATTGGGTCGGCTGTTCAACGGCGGTTACAAAATTATTAAATAAAATAGAAGCCGCTTGAGCCGTGATGGCTCAGAGGATAAAGCGTTTGTCTTCCATTGAGATGAACCGGTTTCAAATCCCAGCGATGGCTGGTGGGTACGAATTCCGCGTTCGGCTTGCACCGACCACAGTGCTGACGTAAAATATCCTCGGTGGTTGACGGATAGTCAGAGTCCTCTTGCCGTCAGTATAATCGTAAGAGGTTTGAGTGGTTTTCCTCACTATGTAACGCAAATGCTGGTTAGTTCCACAAAAAAGTTATCCACGAAGCCAAATCTCTCCAAATACTTGATTTAGGAGTTCCCTTGTCTTCTGGATTGGTTTCAAAATTACGGAGTAGAACATTAGTGGTCGTAAACTCAAAAATTAGAGTCGGATGTTCAACGACGGTTATAAAATGAAACAGAAACCGCTTTTAGCGCCATCTGGTGAAACACTATGGGTTATAAAGTTGTAGAACTCTAATTTAGTACGAATGCGTGCATACAAAATGATATCGTATGATTGATTCAAATGATTGTATACAAAATGATATCGTTGGTTTTACATTTTCCCATCAGATGACACTTTTCTTTTTTTTTTCTTTTTTTTCTTTTTTTTATTTCCAATGAGCTGCACAATCGGTCTTGCCGATGGGCAGACCTAGTGCCAGAGGTGGTATCCACTCTTTCAGGACCACCACAATGGGTGAGATACCGTTGGTCATGTTAATTTGGACCACCAGATGACACTGTAAACACCTTATTAAACTGCAGTCGTTTAAAAATCAGAAGGTGAATGCGGACTTCAGTATTAAGTAGGACTTCAACCCAAGTAAACTAGTTTTCAATTATTTTAATCTACTTTGCTCTGATAAAGCTCAATATTGATTCATGAGATTGATGACATTTTTTTTCATAACTTAAATATTAATATGATTCCCCTGATGTGCATATGTTTTTTATCTTTTTAAAATAAATATGTAAGGAATAAATATGAAACATCATGATCCAATAAGTCCTATCATGTGCACATAGATTTTGGTAGGCAAAAAAAAACTTCCATCGTTCCATGATATGCTGCTCTGATAGTTGTACTTCAAGATATGCTTATGTCCTATTGTTTTTCCATATTTTGTTTTGTTTTTCCAAAAAATAGCAACATTTCATGATGAAAGATGTTGATTTACTAAAAAGATGCTCGTTTTGCATCGTTGAATTTACAATCTCCATCACTTCATGTTGAGACATGTAGACAGGATGGGTAAACATCGTTAGGATGGTTGTCCAAACATTAAAGTTAGGATGGGCAACCATCAAATAATGCTGGTGCTTTCAATAGTTGTTTTTAAATTGCTACTAATGTTTTTATTATCTTTTTTTCAATAGGGTAATCTTTTGTAATGTTTTTGTAAGGGTAATGTTTTGCTATGTATACCTTTTTGTAACGGTAATGTTTTGCAGTGTTGAATTTACAGTCTCTATCACTTCATGTTAGGAGATGTAGATAGGATAGGTAAACACCGTTAGGATGGTTGCCCAAACATTAAAGTTAGGATGGGCAACCATCAAATAATGCTGGTGCTTTCAATAGTTGTTTTTAAATTGCTACTAATGTTTTTATTATCTTTTTTTTCAATAGGGTAATCTTTTGTAATGTTTTTGTTAGGGTAATGTTTTGCATTGTAAGCCTTTTTGTAAGGGTAATGTTTTGCAGTGCTGAATTTACAGTCTCTATCACTTCATGTTAGGACATGTAGATAGAATGGGTAAACACTGTTAGGATGGTTGCCCAAACATTAAAGTTAGGATGGGCAACCATCAAATAATGCTGGTGCTTTCAATAGTTGTTTTTAAATTGCTATTAATGTTTTTATTATCTTTTTTTTCAATGGGGTAACCTTTTGTAATGTTTTTGTAAAGCTAATGTTTTGCATTGTAAACCTTTTTGTAAGAGTAATGTTTTGCAGTGTTGAATTTTCAGTCATTATCACTTCATGTTGGGACATGTAGTAGATATAATGGGTAAACATCGTTAGGATGGTTGCCCAAACATTAAAGTTAGGATGGACAAACCATCAAATAATGCTGGTGCTTTCAATAGTTGTTTTTAAATTGCAACTAATGTTTTTATTGTCTTTTTTTCCAATAGGGTAACCTTGAAGGTATTCCCATGATGCTCGTTGGCAACAAGAACGATGAGGAAGAAAACCGCGAAGTGCAATACCAAGATGGCATGGCCCAAGCTCACAAATGGAATTGCAATTTCATGGAAACGTCAGCCAAGAACAACACCAACGTCAAAGAGATGTTTCAAGAACTTCTGAACATGGAAAAGTCTAGAAACGTCAGTCTCCAAAGCGAGAGACGAACTTTAGCCCAGTTCAGGAAAGACAATTTGAAGGGCAAATGCCTCATGATGTGACGTCACATCGATCTTTCGAGAATTCCATTATACACTACTTATTAGTGTTTCCCGAATAAACTAATTCAGTTTCATAGACATTATTTGTTTTACAGAGAAAAAGAGAGAGAGAGAGAGAGAGAGAAAATATATTGTGCAGTATTTTTTAAAGATTAGGTAGAGACCGTGTTCTTTCAGAAACTATGAAAGAGGACATAGCTTCATAGTCATGTGGTTTCTTTTAACGGACCGGTTCAGACTGGTTCCCTCCCACCGGCGATCACATGTTACGACCATGTAATAAAACATTATATTTATAGAAATAATAAATACATCGTAAACATTAAAACAGACTTTCATTTGCTTCGTAATTGTGTGCTGTTAGCAGTTTTGACATTTGGATATATATAGCATGATTAAAAAAATTATAAAAAATTTCACTGATCGAAAATAAGTCATGTGGGTTTTTTTTATTAACCGGTTCAAACTAGCTCTCTCCCATCGGACATCACATGTTACGAAGATGTCATAAAACATTATATTTGTAGAAATAATAAATATAATGTTAACATTAAAGCAGTGTTTGATTTGTAGCCATTGAAAAAAGAGTTACGCGATACAAAATGTTTTTTTAAAAAGATTGAAAATCGTCCACCACATGTCACACAAAACTGTCATTAATAAAATTAAGAAAAACATGGCGAAAAAATTCAAACTAAGAAACCTCGTGTTATATAAACATTGAGATAGAAAAGTGGCTTTTTGTCGGCAAAATGTGCAGAGATTGCTAACACTTTCCGGGTGATCTGGTTTCTGTCAATCTGGAACAATATGGGGTTTCAGCCACCACCGGAACCGAACCCCAGTTCTTTGCTATGACAGCTCAGTACCTTAACCACTCAGCCATCACGACACTTGTCTGCTTAAAAGCTTTAAAGTTGGTAAAAATTTTGGTTTCTTCGACTAAATTTATTGCACAGTATTTTTTCAGGTGGCTTCTTTCTCCTTTTCGTATTCAATTTTGCTCTTACATTTAAAAATTAATGATCATTTCTATGTGCTCAAATTCAGTTCTATTGTTTTCGACATGTTTCGTTTGATATCTGATACTGTAACGGCAGTTTGATTTGCATAAAGTAAAATCATTCAACACACGCAATGAGAGAATATATGTATTATATAGCTTTTATCTGAATTAAACATAAATTAAAAGATACAATTGAAATTTACACTATTTTAAAAACATTTGGTATACTTCTTTAACTAGCGGCATTTAATGTTTTTCGTTGTTATGGAGATCATTGGTTTTAAATTTTTACCAAGCAAATTAAACATTCCAGCAACATCCCCAACATCCCATTCCAGCAACATCCAAGGAGTCAAAAAGGTTGAAATTTCACAATTTTAAGACAAGCAC